GGGGCGGGCCCCAGCCATTTAAATTTAAATGAAGCCGCGATTATTTTAATCGCGGCTTCATTTCCCTTTTCCGATCTGGCTAATCTACATGCCTCCGTCGAAGGAGGCATGTAGTCTAGACACACCCCTGGTGAATCAATAAACTAAGAGAGAAGAAGGTGCAGAATTGGTAGGGTATTTTTTTCTGCAAACCCTTATACTAGGTGGAGTCAGTAGCGGCCAGGGCCAGGCTCAATATTTAGAGGTTCCTTTCCATTGATACAACATAGAACTGGCTCTAGCCCCCACATAGTAATTTGAGAAAATTACATACCAGCTCTGGGCACTTCTGAGAGACAATACTTCTTAACCTGCAAGTACAGAGGCTGAGTGTAGAAAAACTTGTTATGAAAGGAGGAAAGTCCCCCAACATTAATTAGGGTAAATTCCACAAGAGGATTGTTAATAACAGAATTGTGAGCAGGACAATTCTGCCTCATGTTCTGCTTCATGTTCTTTAGTTCTGCAACCAAAAGTTCCTTTTCTGTGCCCCTTTACTCCTTCACCGGGCTGGGGGCCGACTGGCTAAGCAGCAGTTTGGCAGAAAAGGACCTGGGGATTATAGTGGATGAGAAGCTGGATATGTTACACCAGTGTGCCCTTGTAGTCAAGAAGACTAATGGCATATTAGGGTGCATTAGGAGGAGCATTGCCAGCAGATCTAGAGAAGTGATTATTCTACTTTATTCAGCACTGGTGAGGCCACATCTGGGCTGTGTCTAGACTGGCAAGTTTTTCTGCAAAATCATCTGATTTTGCGGAAAAGCTTGCCAGCTGTCTACACTGGCCGCTTGAATTTCCGCAAGAACACTGACGATCTCATGTAAGATTGTCACTGTTCTTGCGGAAATACTGTGCTGCTCCCGTTCAGACAAAAGCCCTATTGCACAAATCATTTGCGCAAGATGGCCATTGTAAACAGCACAGTACTGTTTTCCGCAAAAAAGCCCCGATCGCGAAAATGGCAATCGGGGCTTTTTTGCGGAAAACTGCATCTAGATTGGCCATGGACTCTTTTCTGCAAAAAGTGCTTTTGCGGAAAAGCGTCCTGCCAATCTAGACGTGATTTTTCTGAAAATGCTTTTAACGGAAAGCTTTTCCATTAAAAGCATTTCCAGAAAATCATGCCAGTGTAGACGTAGTCCTGGAGTATTGTGTCTAGTTCTGGGGGCCCCACTACAGAAAGGATGTGAACACCTTTGAGAGGGTCCAGCAGTGGGCAACCAAAATGATTAGGGGGCTGGAGCACATGACCTATGAGGAGAGGCTGAGGAATTTGGGCTTATTTAGTCTGCAGAAGAGAAGAGAGAGGGGGGATTTGATAGCAGCCTTCAACTTCCTGAAGGGAGGTTCCAAAGAGGATGGAGAGAGGCTGCTCTCAGTAGTAACAGATGGCAGAACAAGGAGCAATGGTCTCAAGTTACAGAGGGGGAGGTCTAGGTTGAATATAACAAAAAACTATTTCATTAGGAGAGTGGTGAAGCACTGGAATGGGTTACCTAGGGAGGTGGTACAATCTCCATCCCAAGAGGTTTTAAGTTCTAGCTGGGATGATTTAGTTAGGGTTGGTCCTGCTTTGGGCAAGGTGCCAGACTTGATGACCTCCTGAGGTCTCTTTCAGTGGGGGATTCACTATACCCCACTCACAATGGTTGTTCTTGGTCAGTGAGGACCCAGGGTTCTGAAGCACATCTATGTGAGTTCACCCCCATCCAAAAGAGAAGGCACCTTGCTTGCTCCATAATCTGAGCATTTGGTTTGGCTGGCTGCCATGTCAGCCACTGCTCCTCACTACCTGGCCGCCCTGCCAACTTCAGTCCTTGTAGACTAGCTGTCCTGCCATCTGCAGTTTCTCACTGCCTAACCAGCCACTTGTCGACCAGTCACCTTCTACTGCCACCTGCCTTCTGCTGTGACCTCTGCCCATTAATCTTTTAGTATTTTTCAGATCTTTGCAGGCTGAGCAGAAACTCTCTCCCATTTCAAGTTATTTCAATTCTCAGTGATTTTTTACACTTTGCAATCAGAAACTCAGTCCCACCACAACTGATTTCATTTTGATTGAGCATTTAAAATAATAGAGGCTCCTAATGAAGTCTGTTTAGCAATTTCTTTGAAAAGTGGTGAGAAACAAGATAAACTAGTCTAAGGATCTCTATAGAGAGCCCACACCTCCTGGCTGGGACACCTGTCTCAACCTCTTTTACTTTGGCAGGCTCTGGCATTCCAGTTCCTGGTTTAACAAGGTTCTTTCTGCTGAGGGTGACTCCCTCATTCAGGACAAGTCATCTGCTTCCCTGTATTTACACAATAAATATAACAATATTGATAACATTTTACTAGCACTGCATTCAGTATTAAAGTGATTTGTAACCCAAAAGACATAGTGATCACTTAAAACAGCTGCATTGTTCAACCTGCTGGATATATTGACATAATAGGTGGGTTCATGTAAATACAGTTTGCTCCTAAAGCTTCTTCCACTTCCAGCTAGCTGTCAGAGGAATTAATTCAGACCCTGATTACATTTAGAGTGTTAAAACTTTCAGTAGATTGGAGCAGATGATTTCTTTAAATATTAAGCAGGAATTGTTTACTAAACAAGCTATCATCTTTTTGAAATAAACTGATTTTAATGATGGTTTACAAGGAATCATAATTGAAATTCTGGAATTAGTCTTTGTTTCTGGATTACAGAATTGAGAGACTACAAGGATAGCTTAATAAAAATTAAATTGGAGCCGTATGCTCTACCTCTCTGTTGTGTATTTGCTCAAGAGAGAGTGATGTCTAACATTTTTGATTCAGTGATTTTACTGTGTTGTGATTCTTTCACTCATTATCATGTTACATTATCCCACTCTGTGATTTTTAACTCTTTTAGGCATGATATGGCTTTTTTGGATAGGTATAATAATCAAACCAAGACTTTCATTAACATGGCAAACTACTACTAGAGATGAAAGATCTGACACTTCCTTTCTATGATTTGTCTCAGTCAAATAATATTGTTTTGCCAGTGCTGTTCTGTGCTAAGTACATTGATATAGAATCATAGAATACTAGGACTGGAAGGGACCTCGAGTCCAGTCCCCTGCCCTCATGTCAGGACTGAATACTGTCTAGACCATCCCTGATAGACATTTATCTAACTTGCAGGACCAAATACTGTCTAGACCATCCCTGATAAGACATTTATCTAACCTACTGTTAAATATCTCCAGAGATGGAGATTCCACAACCTCCCTGGGCAATTTGTCCAGGTAGTCAAACACTGGAATAGTTAGGAACTTTTTCCTAATGTCCAACCTAAACCTCCCTTGCTGCAGTTTAAGCCCATTGCTTCTTGTTCTATCCAGAGGCCAAGATGAATAAGTTTTCTCCCTCCTCCTTATAACACCCTTTTAGATATCTGAAAACTGCTATCATGTCCCCCTTCAATCTTCTCTTTTCTAAACTAAACAAACCCAATTCCTTCAGCCTTCCCTCATAGGTTATATTCTCTAGACCTTTAATCATTCTTGTTGCTCTTCTCTGGACCCTCTCCAGTTTCTCCACATCTTTCTTGAAATGCGGTGCCCAGAACTGGACACAATACTCCAACTGAGACCTAACCAGCGCAGAGTAGAGTGGAAGAATGACTTCTCGTGTCTTGCTCACAACACACCTGTTAATGCATCCCAGAATCATGTTTGCTTTTTATGCAACAGCATCACACTGCAGACTCATATTCAGCTTGTGGTCCACTATAACCCCTAGATCCCTTTCTTCCATACTTCGAATCAGCCCCTGAGCACAGAGTAGAATTTGAACACTAAGAAGAAATACTCTGTACAAGACATATTTCTGCAGTTCTTAATGTCTAGTCATTTTACTCCTATAGCTTGACAGTGACCGTTTGGAACAAATATCAAAAATAGCATTGATGAAAGAGACCATAGATTCTGTGGAAATGGAGATGAAAATATTGGCTAGAAGGGCACTGGATTCAGAAAGTGAGCTCAGCAGACAAAAAGCAGAATGTGCTTCACTAAGGTACATTAAAGCATACACATAAAAATGATTGCAATTATAAAATAATCATGTATCCGCTGTGTTTCAAAGCTATTCTGTTAATTTAAAGGAGCTCATAACAGTGTTCTTATGAGAGGCCCTCATCTTGGTAATCAACTCTCTTCCTTTCCCCTGCCTTCACTTTGCTCTGATATAGCCTAGATTTGTTGACTTTCACAGGATGCTGCAAGGTATATTTATTTTCTCTGGCTTTTGTGAAAGGTAACATTTGATAAGAGTTTTGGTTTATATGGGGTATGGGATTTTTCTAGGAATGGATAAGGATTAAGTTTTGTTGGATATTGTTGAATCAGCTGCTAATTTTTATTTGTTTTGTAATTCCTTTAAGACCTTTCTTTTCTTCTATAAATCAAAGTAAATATAAAAACAAACATACATTTCATGTAATAGCTAGGTTTTCAGCCTCCTCTAGCTGCCCTCTGTTATTGAGAGAGGCAGCAAGAGGGGTAAATTATATTGGAGCTTCTTATAAGACTAGAACTACCAATCTTACTGGAGCTTCTGGCCAATACTAAAAGCTGCTAGTGGGACAAGAGGCATGAGCTACACTCAGGAGAGAAATAGTGAAGAAGGCAAATTTGGCAGCATGTGCAGGAGGAAAGAAAGATCAATAAAGGGGAAGCAAGATCAACAAAAGGGGGAAGCATGTACAGAGATGTGGAAAAGAAGAGGAGAAGGTGGTGCAGAATCATGTACAGAAGAGAGACAAATTTGTTGGTGAAGAGTCAATATGGTTTCTGCAAAGAGAAATCATGCCTTACTAATCTATTAAGAGTTCTTGGAGGCAGCCAACAAGCATGTGGACAAGGGGGATCCAGTGGATATAGTTACTTAGATTTCCAGATTGATAACTGGTTAAAAGATAGGAAACAAAGAGCAGGAATAAATGGTTAGTTTTCAGAATGGAGAGCGATAACTAGTGATGTCCCCCCAGGATTCATACTGGGATAAATCCTATTCAATATGTTCACATAAGTGATATGGAGAAAGAGATAAACAGTGAAGTGCCAAAATTTGTAGATGATACTCAGTAAATCAGTGGTATCCAACCTTTTTACATCCAAGATCACTTTTTAAATGTCAGAACAAAGCCAAGATCTACCACCCCATCCTTCCCCCAAAACCCCACCCTCTCCTTGAAGCCCCGCCCTCTGTTCTCCTCCTCTCCATCACTTGCTATCCCCAGCCCTTATACACTCTCATGATACGGCTACACTGCCGCTTTTTTTTATACTGTCTTGACTGGGCCAAATGTCAGAAAAAACCCTTCTTTCGGAAGCCCCCTTATTCCTCATGGAATGAGGAATACAGGGGTTACCAAATGAGCATGTTCGCTGTTCTGCTAAAAAAAGTGGAAGAACAAATGCATCCCTGGACACAGAACAGTTTTTCCGGGATACCGCTGGAATCCCGGAAAAACTCCTGAAGTCTAGCCATACCATCACTAGGTTGAGACAGGATGTGTGGGCTCTGGGATGGGAATGAGGGATTTGGGTGTGGGAAGGGGTGAGAGGTACAAGGTCTGGAAGGGAATTTGGATGGAGGAGGAGGTGGAGAAGGGGATGCTGGCTCGGGGAGAGGCCTCCAGGATGGGGAGTACAGGCAGTCCCCGGGTTACGTACAAGATAGGGACTGTAGGTTTGTTCTTAAGTTGAATCTGTATGTAAGTCGGAACTGGCATCCAGATTCAGCCGCTGCTGAAACTGATCAGTTTCAACAGC